AGTGGGTTGATTTATGTTGGGCCGATTTATGTTTAGTTTGTTTTCTTTTATTTTAAGAAGTTGTTGGGCCTTGGGCCCATTAGTCTTTTATTTTTAAAGGAATTGTAAGTACTTAGTTAAGTTTGCCGCCCTACTAGGGGCATCTTTGTAATATCCCATATTTAAGTTAATTAAAAATAGAATGAGGGGATGGCAGCTAGGGTTCATGATCACTATCCTAGTCGACCTTCTTCTCTTTTCTTCCCTTTCCTCTGTCTATTTCTGAAATACCCAATTTTTCTCCTCTTCCTTTCACAAAAGCTTGGCCGAAATCAGCATATAAGGCTTTCTACTCTTTTCATTCTTGCAACTAGGGCATTAGGTAGAATGATGCTTAGAGCTGAAGACTTGGGGTCAAAAGCAGGTTTCAAAGTCAAAGATAATACTATCTATCAAAATTAAGGAAAGAAAGGTGAAAGACAATAATTCAATCCTCTCTCATCTCCAGTAGGCAGAAGAACTATAATTTTCATGGACATGTCCAAATGATCAGGTCAGATACTGAGAGTTATTTTACGGTATTCTGAAGCAGTATCTGGATTGAGGATTAACCCTTTTTTTATCAATAGATTAAGGATTAACCTCCACAAAAGCAGTTTTATGGGCTTGGAGAGTTTGATAGTTCTTTGTACATACACTGGAACTTTGGGGTTCCCTATTGGCTCCCTGCTCTTACATGGAGTTTCCCTTGGGCATTAAGCAATTATAAGTTCAGGCTGAGGATTTTGATATATAAAGGATGGATAGGAGGAGATTATCGGGGTGGAAACATCAATTCTTATACTTAGGAGGCAAAATCACTCTTATTAAAAGTGCTTTAGCTAATATCCCGGTGTTGTTATCCATTATTTCCTAAAATGGCAGCTTTTGTAACAAATGATTGGAGAAAATCCAAAGAGACTTCCTGTGGAATGTGAGGGGTGGTACAAAAGCTCCCCTTGGAAAATATCTATAGAGATTCCCTAGAGAGGAGCCTGCTCTTTGGAAAAGAATTATTGGGGCAAAATATGTTGAGGTCCTTCATGGCTGGACACCTAGGGAACTGACCTATGGTGTTGGTTCTAATAAAGGGATCATAAAAGTTTCCAGTGAATTTCAAGCATCCATTGATTAGTAGGGGATGGGACAAGGCAACGAGAATCAATTCTAGGAAGATGAGTAGATCTTGGTAAATTTTGTGAGATCTGTCCAAGACACTATAGAGCATCAAACCAAGAAGGCCAATTGGTTATGGAGGCATATATAATCCAAGGTGGGAACATGGTGTTATCTCCTACTTTTCAAAGACCACTGCTGTCAAGAGAAACCAATGTTTGTATGCCTCTTGCAGAAACTTGAAGGTTCTCTTGTTTCCCCAAACAGAATGGATAGTCTTGTTTGGACTTTAGAGAGTGGAGCATGACAGCAAGTTCAAGTCTAATCCACTTATCAGGGGTGTCACTTAATCCGTTGTTGTTGAGTGAAGATGGGATCCTCCAAAAATTGAAGCTCCCATGTGGCTTTTTCTTTCTTTCTTCCTTTCTTTCTTTTCTTTTTTTTTTTTTTTTT